GGTGAAGACACCTCCTCAGACAGGATCAGTACCACAACAAAGACAGCCACAACCACTATAGCCAGTATCACCAATACCAAGATCCGCTGTCTCCCAGACAGAAATCTGGGATGAGATATTGAATGAATTATAAAGACAGAGGCAAGATTGGAATCCTCGGCGTCAGCAGCTTCATCCCTTGGTGTGGAATAGAAGATGGAGTGAACAACAACAAGAAGTCTTCATTATCCATCAAAATGAAGACTGGGATGATGAGGCCAATCCACCTCCCTCTGCGATCCCAGCCACAAACATTAATTGGGAACAGGATTGGAGCAGACGTTAGGTGTGTGAAGTCAGACCAGAGAGGTGCCACTATTAACTAGGTACATATGAAGCTCCAAGAAGAAAAAAAAGCTCATCTCAGGGCTAACCAGATCCCTAGAAAAGAGATACTTTTCAAGTTGCCAATTAGTGTAAATAAAGAGTTGTGCGACTATAAATCATCCTTTAATAATGTGTGCGTTTTGCGTTCGCGTACGTTTGTGTGGATAGCATAGCTTATGTGTTTTATGCCTTTGCGCTCGTTTGTGTGGATAGTAAATATAGTGTGTTTTTCTCTCTTTCCATTTGTGTGGATAATAAATATGGCGTGTTTATGCGTTCGCGTTCGTTTGTGTGGATAGTATGTGAAGTGAGTGTAAGGGATGTTTTCGTTCACATCAGTGCTTCACGTATATATAATGCTGAAGTCTTTCTGGTTACCCGCGTTACATTAACTAGTTGACATGGTTTTGTTTAATAAACTGAAAGACATTTATTACTGGATGATGCATGTAATCTACGTGAAGGATAGACTTGAAAAGGAATGGAGGTATCCGGTTACCAATGACCTTGTAATCAATCAAGTCACCAGCCTGAACATAACCAAGGATCAAGTACTAGGCATGACAGGGGAACAAGTGGAAACGTTCAGAGGATTTATTAAGCCTCGGTATGAGAGAGTGGAGACTTTAAAGAAGGCCCTTGATGTTGTTATTTAGGTGAGGTGCTTTCTATAAGACTTAGCCTATTTCACGGAGTGGTCTTTAGTCTATTGATGATTAGAGCAATTAAAGAAAGCAGAAGACTTGATGAGAAAGGAACAAGAGGAAGAGGTGAAGAAAATCAAAGAGAACCGGACAAAAGAAGAGAACTGGACAAAAGAGGAAAAGAAGCAGGAAAACAGAAAGAATAAAGAAAGCTTTTACAAACTAAATAACAACTGGATCAAGAAAAAGGAAAAGTTTTGATCTATGGGACATCCTGAATAAATGTCAGGGAAGGATAAGATGAAAGAAATGATTTGGAAAAATAAAGAGCTGGTGGAAGAAGTAGAGAACATAGAAGAAGAACCCAAAGGACCTTTTTCTGGGCCACTCATTTGCCTCCAAAAATATTTATTCTTCCTGTCTAGAATTATTTTATTTGTAATGTTGTATATGCCTCTGACTCTGCTGTATTTGTCTTTCCCTGAGTAGTCACGCGTATTTAGGGCAGCCCTTTGGCACATAGTTTCAAGGGTCCAGTACCGTGACGTCATCCCACCTGTTCAATCTTGAGGCTATAGAGACAATATGAATGGAACAGGTGGGATGACGTCACGGTACTGGACAATTGCAAAATGTGGCAAGTGTAGAGTACCGTGACGTCCTCCCAGCTGTTCCATTCTCTATACTGAACCTTGAGGCTATAGTGCCGGGACCCTTTTTCAACATAGAAGTCTATCTGAGGCTATAATGCCTGTCCTGTGCCACTTGAGGCTATAAATATTGAGGCTATAGTGCAGGGACCTGTTTTTAACATTACGATGTACATGAGGCTATGTCACCTTGTGTCGTTTAATTTAATAAAACAGTACTCATCCTTCAAGTAATTTTCATAGTTAATACAGTGTATGACCATTTAAGGTCGATGTTTAAGGTTTCAGCGACCTTACTTTTGTGTCAGAGTCTTGCCATTATCATCATCCGTCGTATTAATTTTATTATTTCAATCTATTTCACAACACCATATATTATGCCGTATTTCTTTGTTTCCTCTTGATTCTACTAGAATATCACGCGTGTGTTACAATTGGACCATATAATGCCTACGCGAATAATATAGTTCGTTATTTAAATATCTGCGCGATCTGTAGGATTAGAATCATATTTCATATTCAAGTTTATTTTACTGGCACCAACATTTTCCTCTAGTTTCATTCCATGTTCTCTTTTCTGCCTCTTGCACTAAGACAGATAAGGAACACAAATTTCTCAGAAAGCTCGGAAAAAGACAAAACTAACTTAATACCCTAACAATGAACCCACCCTCTACCTTTTTACAAGGACCTTTTTCCAGCCTTGACAACACAAAAGGGAACTTTAGGAAAATCCAAAAATCGTTTGTTTCTGTAATATCTCAATGGCTTCTAATGCAAGCCTAGGTACTTTTTACGTTGAATGAAGAAAAAAATATTTCTATCCGAGACAAATTCTTTCATTTATCCTAACTCTCTCAAGATCTGAGAACTAGACAAGAATTTACACTGCCAGCTCAAGGGATGGTGAAAAGACTATAGTAAACGTCATTAGCAGAAATCACATTACAAAACTATGCTAGCCAGATTTTGCATTGATATTTTCACCGAAAAAAGGGCAATAGACATTGCCTTGAACTTATCGAAACCAAACACTAAGAACTTCTCCGATTCACAAAATATGAAGTTGGAAAATCCGCTATTTGACAATATTCTTATCAAGCATGCCGAGCTATGTACCTCTCACAATATGGTATACATTTGGTTACCAAGCCTTGTCAGTATTAAAGGTAATGAGATCGCACTGCTAAAATAGCCCCTCTCCTCTCTCTAACCCTCTGATTCTAAAATACTAATAACTGATTTTAAACCTGGTATAAACAAATTCTTATTTAGTAAGTGGCATGGAATAATCATGGTTCAATAAAAAAAATTCCATGCCATCAAACCTACCATAGGTGAATGGCCTCCTTCATGCAGAGCCATCCATAGGAACGACATATTTACTGAAAGATTAGAATTTGCCATTCTTATGTAACCCACATCCACATATTGAAGGGCAAAAATCCAACTGAGTGCGTTTCTTGCGGTGAATGTCTTACCTATAGCATGTTTCGATTTCCAACAAAAACGCGATCCTTACAACAATGATTAGCATATGAATGAACATTTTGAAACAGTACATGCTTCTTGTATTTTTAATTTCTTCAAGAACGGTAAATTTATCCTATTATATAGCTTATATGTAACCGACATGTGTAGTGTTAATCACCCTAATTTATCGTTAATTATCTAATTACCCAGTATATACACCATTACATCTTACGCTAATTGGGACCCTTCATATATTATCGTCACTATCTCATCGCTGTGTTTTTGTACTTTTATGGCTCATTGGCAATTCATCTTTTTGATTCATATTTTCTTATACAGTGACGTCACTAGGCAGGGGTGGGGTGGGGTGTTGACCACACCGGTTGACACTATCAGAGGGAGTGACACCAAAATGACTGTCTATACAATATTTGAATAATTTTGTAGAAAGGAGATCCATATGTGTGACACCATAATTTACCACACATGACTGTCTATAAAATATTTGAACTTTTGAGCAGGAAGGGTGGTCCATGTGGGCGATACCATGAGTTAACGCACATGAAAATTTTTAAATGTTTGTGCTTGAAAGGAGTTCGTGTTGGTGACACCTAGAGTTACCGTTCTGGGTGGCACCAACCCAAGTGACGCCACTGTTGTCATATAACCTTTTTGTGGCGACGCTGTGAAGCCTTATAGTGCTGGGGCGCGTAAAATCAACAATCAAGCAAGCAAGTGACAAGGAGAACATTATCATGTATTCAGTACCTTATACAGTAGGTCATTGACCTTTAAGTCAACTACATGCCACTCTAAGGTTATTGACCTCTCAAAACAAGTCTCACGCTTTATGTATGTTAGTGATTATTAATTAAACTGGTCAGCCTCTTCAATGTTATAATAAGTATATAACAGTGTTGTTGGCTCTGAAGAAGAGATTTTTCTTCTCAAGGTATTACAACCGTTATAGACGACGGAGTAATTTGTTTGGAAGTGTCAGTCTAACTTTCTTGAGCAGGAGCAAAACATACCAAACGACAGACAAAGGTGATGGACGGATTTATAGACAGACACGTAACCTAAAATATTAAAGTTTTATGAATATATTGCACATTTTTGAATGATTGATCCAGAAACGGAGATTACAACGTGTTAAATAATTGCTCAATTAAAATAATTAGTGACATAGAAGCAGAAATGAATGGGGAAGTAGAAAATACTTATAGAAAATGTACTATTTTTGAATTGGTATTTTGATGTTTTTGTGTTCATTTCTGATCAGTGGTTTCTCAAAAACTCTACGATTCATTAGTACTATGAAACCTTATGTGAATTCGTTATGTATGTCGTGAAAATTAGAATTTATAGAGCTGCAAAATACTGTTTATAATTATGTAGATTTCTTAATCTGATGTGAATTCATATCATACATATCTGTCTTGAATGGCTGATGTGGTAACAGTGAATGATAGGTAATAATTGTACAACGGTCCATGTCGTACACGTTCAGTCTGAGCTCTTTAACAACGAATGACAAGTTGACATCGAATCCTCCAGATGTTTTGCTTTCGATATAATTCCAGTTAAATGTAAGTTCACTAGAAAACACTCTTGACTGATTCCAGAACACTTTTAACAGTGCATGTAAAGCTGACCACGTATGCACATTTATTCAAATTAAGAAAAGATATTATTGTTTTTCTTTTCATCATAAACGTAACATTAAAATAGCGTATTCAATTCTAATTGTTCTGCACTTTGACGATCATTAAAAAAACTCTGGACACATATTTCGCAATGAAAATGTTCAACAGTAAATTTGTAATAAACTGGGTCAAGAAAAGACGACGTCGGGCCTGTCATAACAGACAGCACCGGTTACCTAGTGGCTAGAGCGTTCGCCTTGGATGTGGGAGGTCGTGGGTTCGATCCCCGGCCGAGTCATACCAAAGACTTGCAAAAATTGTACTAGCAGCTACCTCGCATGGCGCTCAGCATTAAGAGGTTAGTTTTAGGTCTGGTAGACATAGTATCATGATAATGTGACTGTGTGGGACATGATGCTGCGGCATTATGCCCCAACAGCAGAGAGGGTGAACAGACCATTTTGCTTGAGATCTTGTTAATGAAAAATAAAACTTCCTATGAGAAATTAACGTCAATAACGTAAAACCGAAGTCTTAGCAGCAGGGAGGGTGAATCCTACAAAATTTTGTCCTCGTGGATTTATCAGGGATTAACCAAATATTTTATCCAGACCAAAAGGATATCTGGATCTTGAGTCATGTAGATTTATTGTTATAAATCCGAACAGATCAGATTGTGCTTTAGAAAAGAAATTTTTAAATTTATTCATATCCATATCCCCTGAACACCAGGTATAGTAAATATTTCGCAAGGTATAATTATCTACTCCATTAAACACAACCAAAATATTACAATTTTCTCTGATCACTCTAGGTATTTGTGTATATCTTTGAGTAACATAAATCACGTCTGTGTTTTTGTGACGACCTCGAGAAAATATTCTAGCTGGATTAGATTGTTTGTCCAACATCACATCATCATATACTACGAGATTATTAATGAATCCATCCAAGTCATCTACAGATGGGGCTTCATCTATATCTGTGATAAAATCAATAATATCTTCACCGTCTTTATTAACTGATTTTGCTTTTTCATTAAAATCTTTAAGTACTTCGTAACAATGCTGATCATCCACAGACGGTGCTATTAAATATAGTTTGTTCCATCTCATCCATCTCATTATTAAATTTAATAATAATTGTGTTTTACCTGATCCAGATGGACCTATTATAATCATTCTTATCGAATTTGGTAATGCTGGATGGTGCTTTACTGGTTCTTGTTTTCGTGTCGCCGAAAAATCAATTATTGTATCCATATTATTAATAACATGAGTCTATATTGTTTTCGATGTAGATCATCTACACACACCGTTGGATTGACAACAATAATAACAAAAAATAAACGACATGCATTAACGGGTAAATGTGTAAAATGTGGTACAAAAAATATAAATTTATCTCAGGGACAACAAAGATAGGTGGGGATATAGCCTCATCGTTAGGAAAATTACCCGGATTACCATGGGCTAAATATGCTGGTGAGAAACACCTTCCTGGATATAATTACTGTGGTCCTGGAACTCGACTTGATATCCGACTCGATAATCAAGATCAACCAAAACCAGGAGAGTATCCAGTTAATAAAATTGATCAAGCATGTCACATTCATGATGTTGCTTATAAAAATCCTGATTTGCAACAACGGCATTTCGCAGATGTAAAATTGATTCATGCATTAAATTCTATACCTAATAAATCTGTTAGAGAGAAACTCGCTAGTTTCCTAATAAAATCCGCTATGAAAAGTAAAATAATGTTAGGGGCTGGTAATTAATTATATAATTATTATAATGGAATCCATTTATTATAGCCCAAGAGGGTATTGGAAAGGTAAAGCAGCGATCACTAAACTTGCTAAAGCAGCAAAAGTTTCACATTCTGTTGCTGCAGCGTGGTTAGCACGACAGGCAATATGGCAAATTTATTTACCACCACCAAAAAAATTCAATATGCACATTTTGATGTCAGTGTTCCTAACGAAGTTCATCAAGCAGATATTTTGTTTTTACCACACGATACTATTAAAACACGTGGACGAAAGTCACGCACGTACAAATACGCATTGACTGTTGTTGATATTGCAAGTAGATATAAAGAAGCTGAACCATTATCAACAAAAACAGCATTTGAAGTTGCTTCTGCGTTTGAGCGAATTTATCAACGTGGTGGTCTACAATGGCCAAAACTATTACAAGTTGATCCTGGTAAAGAATTTCTTGGTGCAGTATTATCTTTGATGAAAAAAACATAACTTTACAATCAGACAAGGGCATACTTAAATTCATCGTGATCAAGCAATTGTTGAACGATTTAATCGAACACTTGCTGAGCGGTTATTTGGATATCAATATGCGAAGGAAATATCTGCTGACTTTAAGTCCGGTGAGCGATCTCGTGAATGGGTTGCAAGGTTACCAAGTGTGATATCTGCATTAAATGATGAAATTACTCGTGCAACTTCCATGAAACCTTCTAATGCAATAACAAAAAAAATATATACCACGTAGCGATGAATACGGACAACGAGGTCAACAACCAGTATTAGGTAATGTGATTGTGAGATATTTATACGAACCAGGGGAGTTGGAGGGTGGCAAAAGACGAGCTACTGACCCTATTTGGAGTGTGACCACACATACAATTTCTAGCGTGGTTAGATCTACTGGAAGACCACCCATATACAGACTAGATTCTACTGCACCTCAACGTGGATTTGTGCGTGAACAATTGCAAGTAATTCCTGCGGATACACAATTACCACCGCGTTCACTTATGTAAACTAGAACCCCGACGTCGATTACATTCAAGACAAGTCAGCATCACATTTTCACGTGTATGACCAAGATCACTATTTATTCTGTCTACGGTAAATTGTCTTGGATTATTATTCGAATATTGCCATAACATTATTGTGTTACAACTTGCACAGTGATTATTCTGTAGTTGTTTTAGTTTTATAATAAATTCAGTATCAATATCAAAGTCACGTTTATTTTTTTGTCACATTGTTTATAAGACGCTAATTTTTTCTTTATTACATCAGCGTCATTAGTAATCTCCTCAGTTAACAAGTAATCTATGGGAACCTTTGTAGTTGAGTTATTCTTCTGACGCGAGATACTGCAAGATAGACTAAGTTTGGCCATTCGATTCGATCATCTACAATCCAGATATTTGTATCAGAGATAGTTAATCCCTGTGACGAATGAATCGTTATAGCGTATCCTAACGTCCACGGTGATTTATCCATACTCAATGCGCTCTCAACAGAATTGATATCTATCAAAATAATATCATTCAATACCAGATTTTGTACTCGGATACTTTCAGTATCTCCACCAGGAATTTCAACATCAATATTCTGTCGTCGAGTATCTGCTGGGCGATAACATAATGGTACTGGTAGATTTGAAAACTTTTCTTTATGTAACATAAATAATTTCTTTTGCAATTCATCACGAACTATCTTTCTACTTGCGACTATCAAATCAGTAGGTCTCCATAAAGTCCAAAAATCATTCATGGTAGTTTCTGGAATTATCTCACGCATTATTTCACATTGTATTTTATCTGGTTGTAGTCTGATTAATCTTTTAAGTTCTTTCAGCGGTTCATCAATAGCTCTATGATCATCATATATTTCTTCATAATAATCCACATTATTCTTTAGCCATTCATGTGGAGACTGTCCAACAAAAGGTGGTGGTTGACCATGATCACCACACATAATCACAGCCGTGTTTTTTGTTAATAACCATTCAAGGAATGTTTTTAGTGTTTCTAACGACACCGTACATATCTCGTCCCATATAATATACTTAGGTATATATTTTTCACCCATTCGCTCAGGAGTCCATGTATCTCCGCACCATCTAAAGAAACTATGATATGTACATGTTTTTACCCCTCGTTCTTTTATCTCTCTAGCAAGTTTATGTGTAGGTGTCAAAACAATCATATCTGAATTGTTGTTCATAAATAATTTAATCACACGAGTTGTTTTACCTGACCCTCCACATCCATTAAGATAAACGGTCTTATGTCTAGCCACAGGATCGTACACAGATGGTGCAGATGACTTTGATATTGGATTATTATTTCTGTAATATATTTCCTTAATTTCAACGTCAGCAAATTCAGAATAACTTAGTATATTTTCTTGCTTTATCCTCCATGTTCCCCACTCACCATTACCAAGTAGCGGATTTAATAAATCCTTATATTTTTTGTTTATATAAAATGAATCCGTAGCAACTCTAACAGCGTGACGAGGAAATCTATTTATCATAGACAGTAGATTTATAGAAACATAGGCTAGCATCGAAGATCTTAAATGAGTAAACTGCGGTGAGTCGCCCTCAATATAGCTCACAATGGTACCTAGTTTGGTCCCATCCGATAAATAAGCATTACTTCGGCTTATAAATGTGTTTTTCTCCGTTGTATCAGTTATTATAAAATCTAACTCAGCATCGTCCATAATCAATCTTACGCAGTGCCGTTTATGACCGTATGAACTGCCTTGAGTACACTTATCAATTATCTTTCTACCAAGACATTTTGCAAGTTTTTTTTTATCGTGCTATTCCCTGCATTTACGTATATTATTAGTAATTTTAATAATGTCATCATCATTAAGATCAGAAAATTCATTCTTGGCATCTACAATATTAAATATATCAGGTTCTGGTAACTCAATTGCTTTTGTGGACTACAGGATACAATTGCTTCATTAACATTTAACGATACTAAAATTCCAGCATCAATCATATATCTTAATAATACTATTGGAGTCCAACATTTTTCTGAAAAATGTCTTCCAAACCAAACATAAGTAATCGGATGGAGATCTTTTGCGAACTCGAATGATTCTACGTATGCAAATCCTGTTAGGTCAAAATCTGGTAAGGGTCCATTTATCGAAACTCTGGTCATGTCATGTGTGGGGTGTCCGAATCTTTTAAAATATTTAGAACATTCTCCACATCCAAGAAAACTCCCAGGATAACATGCAGCCATATCGACTGATATAACATCATTAAAATCGTATTTAATATTCCATAATCCACCGTGCCCATATTCTATGCAACTTTTTGTATATCCTCAATAAATTCTGATCTTGTAGGTTTCCATGAATTTTTTCTGAACGAAATGAGCCGCTACCGATGGTACTGTAAAACAATTATTTAGTAGTTGTCTAACTTTGACATCGTCAGAAGTATATTTTAGTGCAAGATTTCTCATTTCTTCATAAACAGATTCTGTACGATAAATATCACCATTAGGTCGTAC